AGCGGATAGCCTGGCACTAAGCTGCTCCATGCCTTTCCTGGAAAGGGCTCCATATCTTTATTGCTTTAAAAGCTGCCTATGGCGAAAGCAAGTACTGCCGATTCCCAAACCACAGTTACGACTGAGTCACAGTCACTCTTGCAGACACTTGACTTTCCTTGAAGAAAGATTCCTAAAGTTTAAAATTCAAATGAATATTTTTATTAGCTGGAAGAAAGGTATGATAAGTAACTGAATATTCCCAAGTTAAATCCCAAATTTAATTTAATCGATAATGAGTTTCACCATTCTTTTTAAATGATTAAATAAGCACGATAACTTTCTAAACTATCAGTCAGAAATGGGTTCTCTCTCTAGCTTTACGTGCAATAGTAATAATACGAATCCTCCATTATCAGTAAGTTCCCACGTTCAAAGGTCAACACTACAGTTACTGTGCCCCCCTTAGACCTTGTACTCGATAGATTCTCTTTTGCAGTGGTGTAACAGCACGAAGCGTTTCGGAAGACGGAAGTATTGAAAAAGACATTTACAGGGCAGACTAAGTACATGTAAAGGCTAATTTTCACCCTGGAAGTGAAAGTCATCAACCTGTGAGTCACTTGGCCAGGGTTCTTCAAGCAATTCCCCTTGTACCTCCAATTATCCTGCACACACAATAGAGCAGGGTAAAAACTGCCTTTTTCCCCCTGCAGTCCTTGTCGGTTGTTGTGAAAAGCTTTCTGACACTTCCAGAAGTCTAACAGATAGTAGCATCTTCATTCCTATTCAAAGCCACACTGCCCATAATACCAAAACAAAACAATAAATCAAAGGCGTGGTTATAGATCTGGGAAATACAGGAAATTTTTGTGTCAATAGTACCACCTGCTGGCTTTTGAGAAGATAAGAGCTAGAGACTAATCAACATTGATAAAGTCAGATTAAGATGCAATTCAATACCATTCCTGCACAAACGCCACCATAACTAAACCGTTACAAATTAACCAATTAACAAATTGCAAAATCTTCTAATGAGCTGCCAAAAACCTGCGGAAAGGTCACTGACATTTTTAAATTGTATTTCTCGTTAAATCAGATATTCAAAACTCACTACACACAATTCATCACATGAATTAAAAAATTAAAATCAGTCAGCTTAGCAACCCCATTTAAAACCCATGTGCTATGACTATTAATGTCAGTGTTATGTTTCTTTTTAAGCTGATTACATAACTAATGTGTTATTCCACTACAGTATTATTTCGCAGGGTGGGGGAAGTGGACAAAATTGACCCCAAAGCACTAAAACAAATAGAAGACACCCATCATCTGTTACTATTGAGCTACCAGGCATTAATATTTCTGATCTCACAGCATCACGAAATACTCAGCAGGCAATTAATCAAAGCGCACTGCAACCCGTAATGGAGAAGGGCACGCTTTGCTCTGTCAAGTGATCACTGTTGTGTTTATGAAGATGAACTTTACCCCAACAACCAGAGGGATGCTCTTCACTGTTCACACCCAACACAGGGAGTAAGCTTCCAGGAGAAAGAAAAGCAGAGATTGGGTGGTAAGGATTAGGAGACTCTCTCTTAAAAAAAAGAAAGATGGGTAACTGCTACTGCATGTTTTCAGATACGCTTCCCAAGGCAACACAGACGAATTCAGCCCAAAAGCACAGGGCAGGGCTGTGTTTTACTAGTGCTGTCACACAACAGCCCCAAGGAATCAGCTGCCCCAGTGCTGCAGGCCAGAGAGCTCGCTATCAATCCTCACCCGGCTCTTGGAATACAGCCAGGCTAACTCCTCGCTCATACAGAGCCCAAATTACCCCCCAAATCTGAATCTGTGCCTCATTTTCAAGCTATCACTACCTATCGCTGTATCTGAACACACAGAGATCTTGTTGAATTAATTTCAAATTACACATCCTGAGAATTTCTTTAAGCTCATTCTGGGAAGTCTCAACAAGAACTAGTTATTAAAGGACCTCAATCTAAGTGACTTTACCGAAAGGTTATCGCTAAAACTTCAGCAATAAAAACATCAGCCTTGAAAGCCCTCAGTGATAACCTATAAGCCCTTTGCTGTAGAACAAGAAGTCGCTACCACAGTTCCTGCTACTTCCCAATAAAAAACTTTCTGACTACCTTATGCAGGCACTTCGAAAGAACTGAAGTTTCGCTTGAACCACTCACCTTTTCAGTTGTATGTCGTACCAGCTTATACTACCAGTAAGCTGTGCTCTCTTTCTCTATGCACAGTTCTGTCCAAACGTGTTTCAATGTTCCTCTAAATCTTTTACAGGCAGCAAAGCGTATTTTAGCCACGCTCTGGGATTATCAACTGATGGATCAAATGGAGACTGCAGCCAGCCAAGAACCCCTCAGTTCTAACCTGAAGCTTGACAAACACTAAGCACTTAATCCACATAGCCATAAAACAATAGCATCTTGATGCTTTAAAAATAAAATTTAAAAAAACCCAAATGCTTTCATTACAAAGCAGAAAGTTAAATCATAACCCACTATACCATGCAGCATGAAAGTCACAGCACCTCTGCTGCAGCTCCTAGGACAACACAACCCAGCTGCTCTGCTAGAGCTTTTGTGCCCTCCTGCAGACAATCGCGGCCTCGCTAGCGAGGGGCAGGCAGCAGGTAAGCCTCCTCCTGCTCTCCCTTCCACCAGCCTCATCAGTCTCCCACGATGACAGCAACTTTTGATGACCAGTTCAGAAAGCCCAGGACCGTGTTGTGACTTGTGTAAAGTACTTAGTTTTGCAATGCGGTAACCCTCTCTGATGGCTAATTATGGCTGCAGGGAGCAAACACAAGAACTTAAAATTAGTACTTTACAATAAGGTATGACATCGCAGGCTTGTGGAAGAAATCACAGGACGAGAACGTTGGTGCAAAACCATATACCTTGTTCAAAATCACAGAGGCAGGAAAGAAGCTGTGTAGATGTTGCATTGTTTATGAAGAATATACATTATACTCTTCATATAATCCTTGGGGACGGATGTATACGCTAACGCTCAAATTCAGGAAATGTCGTTGAATAGGGTAATGCCGGAGTCTACTATAAATAGCTAGAAGAGAAGGTAGCAAAATTTTAAGACAAAGAAAGAGAAAGAGCAGAGGAGCCAGAAAAGAGGAAAAGACTTTTGGTTTCCTCTGTTTAGTGATACCGAGTTTTCCAATGAAGGCCAGCAAGGAAAGAAAGTCTTGCACGGCAGTTCCTGCCAGTAAGCCACAGCAAACCATTTCAAAGAGGACAAACGACTGAATGCGAAATAAAGCATTAATCCATCTAAAACCAGGAGCTTTCTAAGTGACACGAGCCTTTAAAAACATTAAAACAGGAAAAAAAAAGAAAAATCCCATTCGCCTCAGGATGGACATAAATGATCAGCAAAGAAACGCGAGGAACCGCTTTCCTCGGCTGCGTATCCGAGCCAAAAAGGCCGAAGGCTGCTGGATGAGACACGTACAAGGCACGGGCTGCGCGGGTCCGTACCGTGTGTGTGTGTGTCCCCCTCCCCAATCCCGCTGTTCCCCCCAAAGCGCCTTCGCCGGCGCGATCGTGCTGCTGCCCCCGGGAAGGATGGCTGCAAGCGAAGGCCGACGCTCGGGGCTTTGCCCGTCGGCAAGCCGGCACTAAGCTTTTCCGAAGAACCTTCGGGACCCCACCAGAAGGGTGGTAGAGCTTCGAACCGGGAGGGCGACACCCGGCCTGAGAGAGCCCCTCGCCCGCGGCGGGACCGGGGCACGGAG